TTGTAAAAGCACATCTCTGGAACAGGTGGAACTTGAACCAGGGCATTTGACCCAGAGGTAGGTACACAACCAATAGTCCTATCCTTGTGGTTATTTCCTTGTTCTGAGCTTTAAGTAATTCTCGAACGCCTCTAACTATCGACGTGGCTTCAGAATCGCCTGGATCCTTATGAACTCAGGTGCGAATATCGTACAAGAAATGGTGCAAATGACACAAGCTGCTTCAGGATTGGAGCAGCTGCAAATTAACTCGTACATGTGGACTGGTCAGTGCATGTTGATTGTGAGGAGGGCAAGTCCCGAAGGAACTCCTGAAGCAATATCTTGAGAGCTACGAGGACTGGGTTTGAACAACCACCATCTTTTGTATTAGGTACAATTCCAACTGCTGGAGGACATTCTCCTCCTCCAACGTTAGAAAGACTCAATGTGCCATATTCATTTACATGGGGATACAGCGATGTCAATATTATTACAGAAGTTCATATTTATCAGTGTGAGTCTGCTGTGGCACAGTAAGGAGCAAAGGAACAATTTATGGAAGTGAGCAAACCACTACTAAACCACTCAGCGACACACCAAATTTATTATAATGATTTTACAGGATAATGTATTCTGTAAACAAAATACACAATAAAGCAAGACTTTGCAGTCATTAAAATTGACATTGGCAATGCATTGAAATATTAATTTTAAATATTATCCAACATTCAGGAAAGTACAATAATTACACAGCAAGTTTCTTGCTCACAGTTCCTAAAATTTGTGCTTAAAAGACCAGTATTCGAGAAAAGGGAAGAAGGCTGCATCAGAAATAAATACAGCAGCAACTCCGATATGTTCTACAAGTTCTCAAATCAATTGTAGCACAGCACCCTGCCTATCTGTGCAGTTGGCTCTGGTACAGAAAATAAATTATGAAGGTAAGGATAAAGCCCCCAAACCTGAAACTATGCACAAAGAAACAAACTAATGATTATACGAAGATAACAAGGTGTAGAGCTGGATGAACACAGCAGGCCAAGCAGCATCAGAGGAGCAGGAAGGCTGACGTTTCGGGCCTAATCCTTCCTGCTCGGCCTGCTGTGTTCATCCAGTTCTACACCTTGTTATCTCAGATTCTCCAGCATCTGCAGTTCCTACTGTCTCTAATGATTATACTATCCTTACAAACAAAATACAAAGATTTCACTGGATTAGGAACCGGAGATCTACACAATCTACAGGTCATTCTGGCTGTTGTACAGCTTTAGTTTTAAACACAAATTGACCATACCGACTGAAACCGATCCTAATAAACACTAACAAATCTGTTGTTGTTGTATGGAGGATTCTGGCCCCACTCCAATTAATTTGCTATTTCCCTGTAAATCATTACTTTCCTGCAAGGCAAGAACTCCAATATAGGCTTGACAAACAATATTCATACATATAAAGCCCCCTTAGTTTATGAGAAAAGATTCTTAGCAGCATCTGAAGCATAGTATCTGACATGACAGAGCAACAAGGCTCGATATAAATCTGTCTATTCATTTAGTGCTGGAGCTGTCATAGTGTTATATATAGAATCATCTGAAAGATGAGTATTCCTGGTAAAGAAAATCACGACATTTACGTCAGCATGCAGAAGAAATTAAAGATTTGATTAAAAAATGTGCAAGTTTTCGCCAACCAGAGGATTAAAAAAAGTGCATTCTAACTTAAATGGTGAAGTAAAACCCAGCTTTGAAATGCACCCTCAAGCTTCCCTTACCCATGTCACTTTTTAAATAATAAATTCTGATAATCAGAAAAGCTGCCTGAATTGGCACTTTGCAGGATGTGACAGCACTTCATTGTCTAGATGTGAAGCTCCCCTCTAGTCCTTGTGTTTACAAACCACCGGTTTAACACTGAGCTTTGGTTTTGTCACATGCACCAGCCCTGATACAAAGCTAAATCTCAATGCAAACTCGCAACTTCACTAAATCCAGCAAAAATATGACTTTCCAGCAAGCTGGATTTGTAGATCCTGGAGGATCACAGTGGGATTTTTCATTGAAGCTCCACCACTGACTCCACCATTTTTAAAGCAGCCACTCAGCCTGTAAGTTCATTGTAGACTTTTTCTCCTTCAAGGAGATGAAATGATTATGAAAACATTTATTGAACTAAAAAAGTTACAACAATACTTCTAAATTCAATTTAGAACACTAATTCTACAAGTTCAGAGCCCATTTTCAAAAGCTACTAATTGTACCAATTATATGATGTTGTGTAGCATTTTTTTTTTAAGCTCATTTGTGCAATGTGGGCATCACTGTCTGGGCCAGCATTTATTGCCCATTCTTGGTTGCGAGCTGTTATCTTGAACTGCTGCAGTCCATGTGCTGTAGGTAGACCAACAATGTCCTGAGGGAGAGAATTCCAGGATTTCTCAACTTTAAGAAGCTAATATCCATGCTGTATTTGAGGTAAACTAGTTAAACTCGCCATAGTGAGTTCATTAAAATCATGAAACAAAATCATACTTATTTAAGCTTGCCAACAAAGAACAACGGGGCTCATCATTACCACTAAGAGTTGAAATGCTACTTTTTCAAAGTTATTTTTATTGTTCTTGATTCAGTTTTCTCTCAAGCGGTTGCGGCTGTCTGCTTGCAATGGATTCTACAGTTATCAGACTTCCAACACTGCAGCAAATCAGCCATTCATCTGTTGATCCTGGATAGCCTCTGCCGGAGTGCAATGCAAGCAGCGCAGTCCTTTATATATTGCCAATACCTATATTGGAGGCAATATCCAATGTCCTAACATAGATTGCAAACCCATGCCAATCTACTAATAGTAACTTACCACCTCTTATGGCAGTGCCTACTTGAAAGCGAAAGGTAATGAGCGTTTTGGGTTCATTTAAAAATCCTAATTCAGCTGCAATAAGAACTAAATAAACGGAGTTCAAACCTACACAAACACACAAAAGGAGGAAGTAAAAAAACTAAATCACAGTTGCAATTTATGTGAATGAATCTAAAAATGTGAAACACATAAAACGTGTTAGCTACAACTGGTTGGATTCCAGAATTCTCAGTTTTGTTTCTAAAATTTCAGTTGAGGATTCAGGTTACGAAAAAAAATTACAGAAAAACATCAACGTACCAGTTTAGTTTTGCAATAAACAGCCACTTACCACATCAAACTTCACTCCATATCCAAGACGCAGCTAATCAATTTTAAAAAAAATGTGAAAGACAAACTCAGCAGATAGAAAGATGCTGGGAAACTGCAACCTTTGTTACATTCTCAGAATACACCTCCAGAAAAATGCACAGTTCTGTAGGCGAGCGTGGCATGCAATCAATCCAGCAGCGTGCTCGTCCTTCGAGTAAAAATGGTTCCTTTATTCTATGTTTTGATTTTTTTTCTGTGTTTTAAGTTGGTACCAGTGAGTGGTGATACTATACAACACCTAACTGTATTTTGTAACAAAATATGTAACAATAAATAAATCAAATCAAACCTGCAAAGCTAAGCCCATCTGTTATTAGGAAGTACTTGATAGCGGAGACTGAACAACATCTGACCAACATCCACCCAGACCCACCCCATCCCTGCAATTTCCTCTGGCCATTCCACCTAACCTGCAAAACCTGGATACAAGGGCAACTGAACACAGTCATTTTACCTAACCTGTAAACCCTGGACACTATGGACAATTTGGCACAGCCATTCCATCTAACCTGCAAACCCTGGACACTATGGGCAATTTGGCACGGCCAATTCATTTAACTTTGTCAGGATGGACAACCTACACTTGTGTCTACTTGCACCACACCTGGTCCCAGCTTGCTCTGCATTTCAGTAAGCTTAGTGTTTGAAAAGTGCGACAATGATGCTGAGAATGACATTAAATTTTTATAAAAGCAGCATGGGAAAAGTTATATTCCAGTCATGTAATATAATTTGTCATAACTATACAATCAATATAGCACCTAAGCTTTTAAAAAGACAAATAGTGCTTTACACTATAGACTATACTATATTGCCATTTCACTTTTGTCCAGGTTTTACGTGCCTCTTGTACAATCTGCCAAGGGTCAGCCTTTCTGATTTGAGTTTTGAAACATCCAGACATATAATAGACAAACACACACAGAATGGGGGAATGGAGTATTACAGCATAGAACAAAAAGCTATTCAGAAGATCAAACCTGATTCTTTTTCACATCATCAACCATCTATGCTAATATTCATTTAATTCCCATATCCTGAACTATTATAATCCGATACTCTTAGAAGAATTAATGGAGAAATTTGAAGTCTTTTTTAAAAAAAAAAAATTCATTTGGGCCTGTGCTACCGTTCTCATTTTAAACAATTTTATGTTTTTGTGCTCAGTGTGATGTTAAATTTGGCAAATGAAATAGTTTCCCATTGTTAGAATCTCACGCTTGAGCAGAATGAATATAGCACTGTGAGCCACGGAGAAATGTAGCCTCTACACTACCCCAAATATTTAGCTCAGTACCTATATCAGTATAGTACCTGCTCCTGTATCTATAACAGTATTTCATTAGCTCCGCAGCAGCCATCACGAAGTGATCCCAATATATTATTGTTAATTGCGGTATAGTCTCACACTAATGTGCGTTAGGCGTAGTTCCTTCACTTGCATGTGATGGAGTTCTGGAAGGTGAAAGGACTGTATACCAGCTCACTGCATCACCCATCAGTTTCTATTTTGATGGAGAATGGACAAAGAGGTCAGTGGAGTCCCTGCTATTGAGTGTATCTCAATGACTTTATACAGCAGAGGAGACAGCCATTCAGCCTATTGCCTTTGCTCCTTGCAAGAATGATTTAACTAGTTTCATTTCTCTGCTCATTCCCCACATTTTTTCCTTTTCAAGCAGAGATTAAATTTATTTTGCAAGTTACTGTTGAATCTGCTTCTACCATCAGCCAGCGCATTCCAGATTATAATTCACAGAAAAAAAATTCTCCCCATTTTCTCCTCTGTCTAGTCTCAAGAAGAAAGTGATTTTATTGAAACGATGGATAAGGTTCCCATGTCATTGGCGAATAAATTCAATGACCAGCTGTCAATCACTTGTCCCCAGGTGCCACTGTCTTCCTTTTCCATTCACTGAAGTAAGCAGCGCTCCTCATTTTTAATCTCTCCTGTTTCTTCATCTCCCTTCAAGGTGTTGCGTGCCTCTTCGTTTGACTCTGTTTGTGTGCTGGTCACCTTCTCCCGGAGCTTCATGAGTAGGTCACGGCTCTCGCTGGTTGGTAGGTTGCTAAGGTAGTATTGTGGTGCTAACTCAATCAGCCTAGAGGAAAGAAAAAAAAAGCAAAATTTAACAGTCTCATTAGAATTTACAGCTTCAATCTGAATTACTCTTTGATAACTAGTGCTTCAGCCTGTATCATCTTTCCTGATTAAAAACAGTTTGCAATTAACTGGTTCTGAATTATTACTTGCTTCTATAATTGAAAAAAACGTTAACGCTCCACCTGAGCCTTCTATCTCCCTTCTTCATCTAACCCCATCAACACAGGTCTTGGTTCTGCTATCATCCTGGTAAACATTTTCTGTTTGCACTTTCTTCACTGCCACAGATCGGAACTATTGACGTGATTCTAAATGTGAGTTAATCAAGATAAGTGACAAGTTTAATATTATGGCTTTTCAATTCTAATCCTTTGGAAATTGATTCCAATTTTTTTTTGTTTGTTTTCAAAAGAATGGCATCAGCCTGCATTGTTACTGAGTTTTGTGTATCTCTGATCCCTCTATCCAATTAAGCTATGTGTCAAAGGAGGATGTTCTTTCTATCAAAATGTTGCCCCTCACATCATCTTTGTCAAGGACCTGGCCATCTGGTTGTAAAATATAAATGTCATTTCTCCAACATAGCAACATGATGATTTAAAAAAATTCAATCTGACAGTTTAAGAAACCATCATTACACCATTACTATGCATTTCATTAATATATCTAGCTCCAAAAAAAAAAAAAAAAAAAAAAAATTGCTCCAATATCACAGGCCCTCATCTCCTGCTTTGGATTTATACTTGGATACAATTTTTTTTGTCAGCTCAACACTCAGACAAGGACTAAGTGACTATAAGTCCAAAGTAAAACAAAATAGCAAAGTTACAGTCTGTGTCTGGAAACCATTGTTCACCAAATAATACTTTGGAAGGAAGTGGGTACAGCAACCAGCAATTTATATTTTAAGGTGATATGACAAAACACACTCAGACATCAAATTGCAGAGTATAAAGCAACTTCAAGATTACAGCTATAGCAAATAGCCATTAAGACAGATTCAGAAAAGGGAAGATCCCGCCTGACCAATGCCCTAACCTTTTTTCAGGAAGTGATACCCCAAGCGAACTCTGGAAAACCCTATGATGTAGCCTAACTACACCAGCAAAAACTCTGTCGCAGCGTCATACGAGAAAGAAATTAAGAGCGAGGGTCAAGGTAAAACCTCTGGAGTTGGCTGAAGTGGAATATTTGGTACCAAGGTTGGACTGTGGTGCTAGATGTAGGTCCCACAGATCAGTTAATAGATTCTTCCCATTTCCAGCAATATTAAAAACTTGAAATCAAAACTAAATACAACACTAAATCATTTGTCAAAACAGCACAGTAGATGGGAATGTCATGATCAATTGATGAGTATTTTGTTTAGACCTGCTGAGAAGTGAAGGTTATCATGAAAACTCTACAAGTCAGCTTAAATGAAAAAATAAGTAATCATTTGAAGTGAGTCACTGGCAGCAAAATGAATTTAAATCTGGATGAACATCAGCCATCTTCACTGCTTTGGAGTGTCAACTGAATCCTTTAACGATGACAAATTGCTGCAATACACTCCCAGCTTGTGTAGTATTATCTTTGGATTACCTTCCCTTCTTCCTCATAAGAAAACAGAAGACAGATATCAATAAAAATAATTATTCCAGATACATGAACTCAATGAAAGCATGACATGCTTGCGGTAACTGTCTCTCCTCAGTTCCCACAGACACACTAACGCTGAACAGTACGATGATTTAATAGTAGTCTTACATTTCAGGATGAATCTCTGAGACAACGCTGATGCAGTTGTCTTGGAAAATGGTAAAATCCTGATACAGGACCCAAGAGGGTGGCCGGGGCCGAGGCTTCCTGGTGAGGTAACACGATAAAGGATGCAGGTGAGCCACGTGCTTATGATTGAGCATCAGGTAATTCCCAGAACCATCCACGTCTCTTGCTACCTAAAAGCGGGGTGTGGTTTTCAGATGGAAAGGGGGAAAGGGTGGGTGGGGGGGGGTAATGGTGGGTGGGGAGCAGAGGGGAAAGAACAAAATTACCGTAAGTAGTCAGTTAATCGGAGGGGGAAGTGAGGCACACAGGACATTTGCCCAAAAGATGAACTTACCTTCCTTTCTGTCTTTTTACCATCTTGTTATAAAATAAAACCTTCTCAATCTTACCGATCTTCCAATGCTCACTGCATTGTAGCAATGGAGGCAGATTAAGGGCCTTAAAATGGGCAATACTTGGTCACTTCAGGCCCACAATAGGGCTAAAAGAAGGTGGGGTACCTAACTCACCATTCTGAATTATGGTTACCAGGTGGGAGAGTGGGTAAGGCAGCAATGAGATAGTCCCCCACATTGCTACAGTGCCACCCACATCCCCCAAATGAGAACATGTTCAGTGGAGGTCCGTAAGATCCACGTCTGTTCGTTATTGGCTTCGATTAGTTGAACTCAGGAGGTTGGGAAAGCAGCTCTTTAGGTTACAATTCTCAGGAACAGTCTGTCAGAAATATATTTTGCTTGCTGATACTGGTCAGTTTTCTGGATGATTTCAGTCTATTTTTTGATTTTCAATTTGTACCAAAGGTCAATCAATTCAAATTATAACAGCACCAGTGGAATACTGAACTAAAGGACGGAGAGAATATTCCAATATTGAAAATAAAGCTGAAAATACCTTTCATGGTCTATAATTGATTTTTGCAGCCTTTTCATTAGTCTGCATTGAAGCAGTCAGCAGCTGCAGTCTAAATGGTTTTAATCAGAATAGCATTTGTCATAGATAGATGTGCCTTCCAACTATGCAATGGGGCTTAGGCTAACAATTTCCATTGGTGTGGGCAACCAAGGGCTAAAATATTACAGAAAACATTTGGGGGCTTTGGTGTAGCACATACCTTGTGGAGGAACATCACTACAGCATAATCAAAAGTTTTACTGGTAATGATGCACCAGTTCACTGGCAGAGCGTTTTTTTTGCAAGAGAAGGTTGACAGGAACTAGCATGCGACATAGCTGAAGCCCATGAAAGATCTTTAACAGTTGGAGGAGTTGTTGTGATGGCACAACATGATCACGCACCTTAAGGAAGTAGCCAGAGATCAGAGCTCTCTTTATGTTAAGCACGTTTCCCTCCAGTCCGAAGTTCGATGGCGATATAGGTAGTTCAATCCTTTGCATTAGTTCAAGCAATTCATAGCGGACAACGTCAGCCAGCTTCAGAGCAGAGTAACTCAGATAATTCTTCAGACACCATGTTTCATCTTCATTATCTACAGGCAGATTTTACAGGGGTAATGCAATATTCACTGATCTCTTGTCCAAAAAGTAAAAAAAACAGGAAATATGCAGCATGCTAATTAGCATGTGAGAAAGAAACAGTAATTAATACTTCAGGTGTACAGTCCTCTAATAAAAGTTACACCTGAAAGGTTAACACATCTTTCTCAGACACTGGTAGACAAACAGGAAGCTGGAAGAACACAGCAAGCCAGGCAGCATCTGGAGGAAAGCAGCAGTCAACGTTTTGGGTATAACCCTTCTTCAGGTCTGGACTTTCAGATGATGTTCTGAGGAAGGGTCACTGGACCCAAAATGTTGTTAACTCTGAGCTTTTCCAGCAACTTCTGTTTTTGTGTTGTTGTTGTTGTTGAAGAAGAAGTGATAGAATTTACAATTAACAATTATGCAAATAAGCAAATTAATATTTGTCTTATCAAAATCAGACATCAGTTAATCTGGCTAAGGGAGGTAAAGTACTAGAAAAGGAAGCACGAAGCAGTTTTAATTAAGCTATATATTGTTCACATTTCCTAGACAGACTAATAGCAGAGAGGTTGGTTACACTGATGTGTAAATTTGCACAATGACAATTCTGGAAAACAGTACACTTACTATTTTGGCATTCGAGGATCAGCATAAAGCAATTACAGATTAGATACAGAACAATGCTCTCTCTTTATTATCCCATTAGTATGTCTATGATCAAATCTTAAAAGAGCACCTAATTAATGTCTGAATATGGCATTTTAACTTTCTCAATTTGACAGGGAGACTGTCAACTTAATTCTGAATTGGGGCAGCCAACTGCTGCAAGAATTGAATCATAGAATCCCTAGTGTGGAAGCAGCCGACTGAGTCCACACACACCCTTCGAAGAGCATCCCATCCAGACACACCCGCACCCCATCTGCGTAACCCTTCATTGCCCATGGCTAATCCACTTAGCCTGCATATCCCTGGTCACAATGGGCAATTTAACATGGCAAATCCAGCCAACCTGAACATCTTTGGACTGTAGGAAGAAACTGGAGCACCTGGAGGAAATCCACATAAGCACAGGGTGAATGTGCAAACTCCACACACAGTCACCTCAGGCTGAAATCAAACCTGCGTCCCTGGTGCTGAGAGACAGTAGGGCTAACTAGTGAGCCATAGTGTCACCCATAATTGGATAAATTTCATTTCAGACAGAAGATTTCATGGCACTGTGTTAAATCTGGATAACGTGCAACACTGCTGAAAAGAAAACCAAATAGAACATTTCAATTTTTACAATACTTTAATTACATTTCGAAGGAAAACACCTACACATTTGGGAATATTTGCTGGACTTTACATTGTAACTGAAATGTTCCCCATGTGTCAACGCCCTTCTGATGAGAATTGGCATTCTGTCCTTCTAACTGGGTTGCCACAAGATTACAAGATAGATTCAAAAAGATTAAAAGATTGAAATGGGAGGATCTGTGTTTCATAGATTTGTTTGACAAATAGACAGCCAAAAATGGAAATCTTGGGTGGAGCTGAAGCCAGATACCTTTGTGTATGTGCCATCAGTGCAGGTAGACACTGGTCTGCCTAAACAACTGAACTCCTGTGGGCAGGAACACATGGAACTCAAAAAAATAAATTGATTTTGCTCTCAGGCCATTTAATTGGTCCAAACTACAACACTCCTACGACAGATTAAAACTTCACAATGAGAATTTCTAAAACTGGTGCAAGATGCAAAGTGGCATTTGCATTCACAAACACATTTGGACATAGACAAAATAGCCAAAGACATCAGAACTATTAATCCAGAATATGACAAAATTAAAATGAGAAAGTAGAAGTTGTAGATGCAAGCTCAAACCAGTGAAATTTTAGGAATATCCTCAGGAAAGTCTTCACACAAGGAATGATCAACATGTGGAATAAACTTCGAGATGGAGCAGTGGAGGCAAAGCCCTGGAATCAATTAACAAACACCAAGGTACTGTAGTGACGCCAGCTTTAAATACCTCTCTGGGATTGCTGGCAAGCTACAGCTACAGGTACGGCCGTGCTACAAGTACTAATGCTGGGGTTGCAACTATTAATGATATACATGGAAGATTTGATCTTATGGAAACACACAAAATCCTAAAGAAACTTAATGGGTTATACTGCTAAGATGTTTCCTCTTGTGGGAGTCCACAACCAGGGAACACAATTTGAAAATTAGAGGTTACCTATGTAAGCATAAGGTGAGGGCAATTTTGTTTCTCTTTGAGGGTTGTAAATCTGGAATCCTAATCCCCAGACAGCAGTGAGGATGGGTTATTGAATACATTCAAGGTTGTGTTGGACAGGCTTCCTACTGGCAAGGGAATAAAGGGTAATGAGGGGCAGCTAGGAAGATGGAGTTGAGATTCTGAACGAAGGGCATTTCCGTTAGAGTAATGCAAAGTTAATAACATTAGTAGGAGAGGATGGTGGTTTAGTGGTAATGACACTGGACTAGTAATCCAGAGTCTTAGTGAAATTTGCATTTTCTAAAAGCCTGGAATTAAAATCAAGTAACCATTGTCAATTGTCATTAAAACACACTTGGTTCACTAATGTTACAGAATCATAGAGGCCATTCAGCCTATCAATTACCTCTCCCAGACCCATCCCACACCCTATTCCCCATGGCTAATCCACCTAGCCAGCACATCCCTGGACACTACAGGGCAATTTAGCATGGTCAATCCACCCTAACTTGCATATCTTTGGACTGTGGGAGGAAACCGGAGCACCCGGTGGAAACATCTCACAGACACAGGGAGCACATGCAAACTCCACACAGACAGTTAACAAAGACTGGAATCAAAACTGGCTTTCTGGTGCTGTGAGGCTAGAAACTGTGCCACTTGTTCTTTGCCATCTTTACCTGGTCTGGCCTATTCAGTACAGTAAAACAGCCCAAAATGCCTCAGATGATGAAAAGAAATCAAATCATTTAAATGTTCACAGTGGCTCAGTGGATAGCACTGCTGCCTCACAGCGTCAGGGACCCAGGTTCAACTCTACCCTCAGGCGACTGTCTGCGTGGAGTTTGCACATTCTCCCCATGTCTGCGTGGGTTTCCTCCGGGTGCTCCGGTTTCCTCCCACAGTCCAAAGATGAGGAGGCTAGGTGGATTGGCCATGCCAAATTGCCTGTAGTGTCCAGGGTTATGCAAGTTAGGTGGGTTAGCCATGGGAAATGCAGGGTTACAGAGAAATGGTAGTGGGATGGGTTGGAATGGGATGATCTTCAGAGGGGCGGTGGGGACTTGTTGGGCTGATTGGCCTGTTTCCACACTGTAGGGATTCGATGATTCTATGAGGGAGCAATGTGAGCTGCTGGCATAGTAATGATCTTTCTGGCAGGGGTTGGGGGGGGATTGGAGTAGGTGAAAAAGAGAAAAATAATAAGGACTTAATTGAAATAATATTGTTGTTTCAATACTTACGTTGTTTGAATGCGTTGTAGACATTGATGAGAGTAAAATGATCTCCCTCAGGATGTAGAAGAATTCTCCTGCGAATGGCTGCAGCTTCCTCCAAATGCTTGGGTGGTGCAACAAAACATGGGGATGCTGAAGGAAAGGCAAATACTCAAGTCAGAAATGTCTTTGATGCTCTGTTGCACAACAACCAGAAGTAGAGAGCAACACCATATAAATATCTGGTGCATTTACTGTTACAAACCATTGGTAATCATATTGGTTTGGAACCAGATAATTTTGCTTTTGAGCTTTAGTATGCTTGATTATTGGTTAGGAAGTTTAACTAATGGCAGAAGTGCAATCTTTTTTAAACCATTTCAATACATAGTAAAAATTAGGAGACAGTGAGGACTGCAGATGCTGGAAGCTAGAGAGTCAATAAACGTGGAGCTGGAAAAGCACAGCAGGTCAGACAGCATCTGAGGAGCAGGAAAGTCAACATTTCAGGCTGAAAAGTCCTGACAAAGGGTTTCGGCCCAAAACGTTGACTTACCTGCTCCTCTGCTGTTGTCTGACCCACTGTGCTTTTCCAGCTCCACATCTATTAACTATAGTAAAAATTACAACCGTGCAGGCTGTAATAACTGGCCAGTGGCAAATTCTTTTACAAAAAGAGAGAAAAGTGCTGGAAAAACTCAGTAGGTCTGACAGCATCCGTCAAAAGTGAAGCAAAGTTCATGTTATGAGTCTAATGCGCTATTTTGGATCTCCAGCATCTGGTTTATTTTGCTTTTATTTTAGTCATTTACATAAAATGAGGCAGCCAGCAATCCGTGGGGGTTGTGCTAAATGTGAGACAGGAAAGGTTGTAAAAAAATTGCACAGTTGCAGCTGGTTCCTGTTCTGTGGGTATCCTCCCCCTCTTTAAAATACTCAGTCCAGTGCTAGTCTGCACAAAAGATGGACACTAAGTTTTTTTCCGCTTGGTACTCTAATTCCGACAGTACCCAAATCAATCTTGTCAATTCTGCCACCTAGAAGATCAAGTATGGCAGGTCTATGCCAGTGTCACCACCTCCAAGTCACACATCATCCCAACATGATCTTGAGATGTTGCCCTTTGTCGTCACCAAGTCAGAATTGAAGTTCCTCCCCAAGAAGCACCCCAACAGTAGGTATATCACCAGATGTTCACTGATGTTTGCACAATGTTCAGCATCATTCGTGATTCCTCAAACTGAAGCAGTCCATGTTCACATGCAACAAGATCTGGACAATATCCAGGCTTGGACTGACAAGTGGCAAGTGATGTTCGTGTCACGCAAATGCCAGGTTATGACCATCACCAATAAGAGATAACCTAACCACGCTCCCTTGACATTCAGTGGTGTTACCATCACTGAACCCCCACTATCAACATCCTGGAGGCTACCATTGACCATAAACTCAACTGCACTCACCACATTAACACACTGGCTACAAGAACAGGCCAGAAGCTAGGAATACTGTGGCGAGTAACTCACCTCCTGACTCCTCAAAGCCTGCCGGCCATCTACAAGGCACAAGTCAGGAGTGTGATGGAATAGTCCCCACTTTCCTGGATCAGTGAAGCCCCAACAACACAAGAAGCTTGACACTATCCAGGGCAAAGCAGCCCGCTTGATTGGCGCTACATCCACAAGTATCCACTCCCTCCACCACCGATGCTCAGTGGTAGTAGTGTGTGCTATCTACAAGATGCACTGCAGAAATCCAAAGATCCTCAGAAAGCACCTTCCAAACCCACGACCACTTCCATCTAGAAGGGTAAGGGCATCAGACATATGGGAACACCACCATTTCCAAGTTCCCCTCCAAGTCACTCACCATCCTGACTTGAAAATATAATGTCGTTCCTTCACTGTTGCTGGGTCAAAAGGCTGGAATTCCATCCCTAATAGCATTGTGGGTCATCCCACAGCAGGAGGACTGCAGCGGTTCAAGGCGGCAGCTCACCACCACCTTCTCAAGGGCAACTAGGGACAGGCAAGAAATGCTGGCCAGCCACATAACATCTTTTTTCAAATTATTTTCTCTGTACATTTCTGCTCTTAGAATATCCTTCCAACCAGTCTCTCCTTTCCCCATGTTTGAAATTCTTACCAATTGTATGCTGTCTAGCAATGCAAAAATACAATGTGATGCATAATCAAAAGGTCATACATCAGTATTACATGGCACTTTGAATTATCAACATCTGTCTTGAGCCCTTAATTCATATCAGGTCTAGATGTTTAAGATGTTCACAAACCAAAATGGGTTATCACATTTAAAATTAACAGGATAGCACTGTAAGAACCTTCTCCTCAAGACTTGGATCAGATGGAGTCTCAGGAGTATAGCCACTCAAATATTGTCATTATAAACATACAGCGACACAATTTCTGTTAATTGTAATATTCTAAAATGCAATATTATTGCACACTAGGAAAAAGAATTAGAAGCCCATCTTAAACAAAATTGTTTTTTCATGTCTGATTTTACTTCCTCTTCACTATCCCATCCATGAGAATGGGCCAGGAACTGCTATTCATTCATTTTGCATGTCTTTATCTGTCCTTAAATTTACTAGAATGGTGCTTTACAAGCCAAATCCAACAAGATCACCATTTATGGAACGCTCTGCACGTCCTATCAAAACGATAACCTCACACTTATCCATATTATACTCTATATGCTCTGCTCTTGCCTACTCACTTCACTGGTCTAAAATAGTGTTGGGCAGTTTTTTCAGGGTCAAATACAACACCAAAGTTGTTTTAACAGTCTGCACGTAATCTGAAGCTGAACCAGACAAAGGGGACAACACTGTAGCAGGCTCCACTGTGGAGTGTTATGATCAGAAGAAAAGAAAATTAGCCTGGAACACCACCCTCCCATGCCATAGTGGTGATGTATAGGCCTACAGGTGCTATCACCTTCATATGTGCCCTCTAAGCTGCAGCAGGTCAGGAGCGGAGATTATAAACACTGAATTTATAAAAGTCTTACTGCTCTTTGATGGTTTGCTCTTATTTTCAGAAAACAATATATATGCAAGAGATGTCTCCTGCCAACACCAAGTTAAAAAAAACTAGCCGAGAAAGTCCAACTGAGCTGTACTTTGACTGTAAAATGATTGCTCTCGAGAAAGCAAACCCTGCCCCAAAAACCTGGTGCTCACAGAACTGAAAGGTGCAGTCCCTCTCATCACTTTCCAGCATTTCCCAGATGATGGTTCTCAGACAGGATGCAGAACAGTACAGCACAGGAACAGGCCCTTCAACCCACCACGTCTGCGCCGGCCACGATGCCATTCTAAACTAATCCCACCTGCCTGCATATGGTCCGTATCCCTCTATCCCCTGCCTGTGTGTCTAAATACCTCTTAAACTTTGTTATTCAATCTGCTTCTACCACCTCCCCTGGCAGCACATACCAGACACCTACCACCTTCTGTGCAAAAATTTTCTTTGATCATCTTCTTCAAGTGTTCCCCCTCTCATCTTCAACCTATGTGCTCTAGTATTTCACACTTCCACCCTGGGGAAGAGACTGTGACTATCCACCCTATCCCTGCCTCTCAATTTGAGAGACTATCAGGTTGTCCCTCAGCCTCCGACACTCCAGTGAAAACAATCCAACTTTGTCCAACCTCCTTCTATAGCTAAAACACTCCAATCCAGGCAAAATCCCAGTAAATCTCTTTTGTACTCTCTTCAAAGCCTTTACATCCTTCCTATAGTGTGGAAACCAGTCTCTGCACACAATATTTCAAATGTGGCCTAACTAAAGTCGTATACAGCTGCAACATGACTCGCCAACTTTTATACTCAATGCCCCAAATGATGAAGACAAGCAATCCGTGTGTTTCCTTTACCACTTTATTCACTTGTGTTGCCATTTTCAGGGAGATATGTACTTGGACCCCAAGATCCCTCTGGATATCAATGTTCCTAAGAGTTCTGCTATTAACTATATACTTTCCTGTGCATTTGACCTCCCAAAACGCATCACCACATGACTAATATCAGGGATGGATGGGGCTGGGTTGCCACAGAGGGAAATTTGAGCCACAAGTCAGTTCCAGAAATGAAAGTTAAGGGATCAAATATTTCTTTTGATACTCGTGATCTCTAGATTTTAAACGCCAGTGCACTACTGAACAACCACTAAGTAGGCGGCTGAGGTAAATGGCTTGGAAATTTTGTTCCCTTTCTGGTACAGGCCCTTTCCACCCATGTGAAAAAGTCCTGGTAGGGGCCAACCCTTCGTGTTACAGTGAAAAAGGAGGGACATGACTGGGCCAAAATAGCTATAATCCAACAACTACTGTACCCAATCACCATTAGGAATGTGGAAAAATTTACGTGGAGGTCTGGATAAGTACAGTGTGAAACTGCTCCCACTACCCAAAGGGCAAAGAACCAGAAGGCACCAGAGCAGACTTAGGAGAGTCGAACGCCCTAATTCTGTTCCTTCATCTATGATCTTATGGATTTAAGGTGAATGGCAAAAATACTAGAAGCAACATGACTAGAAACTTTTATTTTAAGCTAGTAGCGGTTCAGATCTGAAAAACACTGCTTGAGGATATGAGAGAAACGTACTCGATCATGGATTTCAAAACAGAATTGAAGAATTACCTGAAAAAGAAATTTGCAGGGCTATGGCAAAAAGCAGAAGAATGGGAGTGGCTGACTTGCTCTCGCAACGAGTTGGTGCAGTCACTACAGGGGGAAAGGCTTGCAGGAGGTCTATTACTCTGGCCCAACTGAAAAGCATGGCAAGACTTGCTCCACAAATTTTGCCCCATGACTGCCCATCCCTCTTATCCCAGTTCTGAAACACTAGTCCATATCTCAAACATTGTAGAGGAGTGTTGTTGTAACAATAACATACAGAACTTGCGCATGTTCTGGGTTCCAAGCTTTCGGGGCAGGGTTCTCTCACTCTGGTGAAGAATTCTCACATAGCCTCACTTCTGGCCAAACCCAGTAACCAGTTGGAATTTCAGAGATAACTGTGTTTTAAACATACAAAATTCTGTGGTATTGGCAGCAGAGATTTCTTGTCTTTAATTTATTTCCTGCCCCCCCAAAAAAGCAGAAGCACTGATGAGGAAAGATTTT